TTCGGGAATGAGTGGTCGTCAAACTATGAAAATAGGAGAATACCCACTTATGGAAGATCCTTTATATTCTTGGTTTCTTGAAGAATGTCGCTGTAAGAAGACTCTCATGGAAGATAGTATACGACAAAAAGCATTAGTTTTTTACGAGAATTTAAAGCAAGTGACGGCTGGTTTCAAAAATTTAAGGTAAGATATGGAATTAGAATATTGACCGTAACGAGAGAAAAGCTGTCTTGTAATGACGCAGCTGTTGCTCCATTTATCTAACAGTTCAGGAAAAAGATGCATGATCTTAATTTAACTCCTGATCAAGTCTACAATGCCGATGAAAGTGGATTGCTCTGGAAAGTTTTACATACGTTTCCAGAGAAGAGCGAGAAGCACCAGGCAGGAAGGTGTCCAAAGATAGAGTTACCATTATGCCTTGTGCCAATGTTAATGGTACGCATAAACTCAAGCTTTTATTGATAGGGAAAGCGAGATCACCTAGGGCATTTAAAAGTGCTGATTTTCCACTCGTATACAAAAACCAAAACAAAACATTGGTAACCAAAGAAGTATTCGCAGAATGGTTTCATAATGATTTTATCCCTGAAGTACGACGTTTTTTGAAGAGCAAGAATCTTCCGCTGAAAGCGCTTCTTATTTTGGACAACGCACCTGCACATGGCCCTAATGAAAATTTAGCTTCAAGAGATGGTCTAATACAAACACTTTTTTTACCTCCTAATTGCATACCTCTGCTTCTGCCTATGGACCAGAATATGATCCAAATGATAAAGACTAATTACAAAAAAAAAATTGTAGTCAATGCTGTTTTGCGAGAAGATGATGTCGCTAAAACGTTAAAAAATATGAATTTAAAAGATGCCGCATTCACCTTGACTGAGGCTTGGAATAGTATACCTGACAGAATAATACAATCATCTTGGAAGAAGTTGTGGCCATCATTAAATAACAATGAAGCAGAATGTGAATGGGATTTAGAAGACGAGCTCTCAATTGCAGAGTTGAAGAGTATGTTAAAAAATCAAGAAGAAAAGTCAAACTCCACAGAGGAATTATATGTATTGAGAAAACAATATTTCCTTTGAAAGATGATATTTTATTTTTAATTATCGGTGCTACAAATTTGTTTCGGTTATTGTCACGTCTAATTGTCAATAATAAGTTTTGATAATGTAGGTAGATAAGACATATTAAGACGAACCAACAATTTCGCTTTTTTAACAAATAATTATGCGTTCTTTTGGTAAATAAACAACACAATGATGTTGTTTTGTTCTCCATTTTAACGTGTCTAATTTTACTGCATTTTTAACTATTTTTGGCGTGTTTTATGGAATTTTAACTTTTTACTTTTCAATTAGTAGTGTGTTTAATGTAGTGTATCTCTGTGATTTATTTATTTACCAAAAGAACGTATAATTATTTGTTAAAAAAGCGAAATTGTTGGTTCGTCTTGATATGCCTTATCCACCTACATTATCAAAACTTATTATTGACAATTAGACGTGGTGCCTGATGACGGTTTAATAACCGAAACAAATTTGTAGCACCGATAATTAAAAATAAAATATCATCTTTCAAAGGAAATATTGTTTTCTCAATACATATAATTAATATTATAAAGATGAACCTGGAGGTAAATATCGCTAATCCACAGAGGAAGATATAGACGAGTGGTTTGCAGAAGATTATGATTACATTAATAAATGAAGTGATAATGTTGAAGAGGTTGCCTCCAAACTTCAAGAGAACTCTGTGAAATCTGAGGACGCATTAAAGGCAATTGATCTCAATATCCTTTGGGCCGAAGACAATAAACAATCTGCAGGTATTCTACTAACACTGAGGAAATTGAGAGAAAATATACTCCATAAAACCTATTATTGTAAAAAACAGTCAACAATTGACAAATTCCTTGATACGTCATTAACAAATAACATATAAATAACATAATCATTTCTTTTTATAACTATTTTACATTTACTTTCCAATAATAAAGGACTTAATACAGTATTGATCATTATTTTGTTTGTTTTCTCTTATAATAAAACTTTTTTCTCGATAATACGCAGTAGTACGGCACATTCGGTAATCCGTCAGTGTGAAAAATGTTATGGTGCCGAATTATCAAGCTTGTACTGTACTTAACTTTTTATTTGGGATAAATTAATGATCAAAAAATAATCTAGAGATAAATTATTTCATCTATTTTAGATAGAAATTGATCTTTGCTGCTAATAAAATTACTTAGTCTGATTAAATAAATTTAAAATATTTTAAACAGCTATTATTGTTTTCTTCCAAGTTAAATTCTTGCCGCTAGATAGAGTTGTGGTGGTTTTGGCCAATAGGTGGCAGCATATACTTGTACACCACTACGTGTGCATAGTTAGAGGGCGCGGAGGTTGGTTGAGTAACTTTAATAATCTATAAACAAAGGGCATACCAAAGAATGTTTGCGTGGCAGTACCACGCGGCGTTATCTTTGAACACACCTTCATAAGTCAAACTTGCTTAATTAGATAATTGGGACGAGATGTTTGTACTTGAAGATTAAGTTCATTGCTTGGATGTTTATATTCCAGGTTGGGTTGCGGAATTTAGCAACTTTATTCCACAAAGCAAAACAACAGTTCATAAAAGAGATAATTTGGTTGTTATGAGGGCGTCTGTGAAGATCGGGGCAACACCGAAACCTGTGCATTTCCTGGCATGCGAATTTTAAAACTTTCATTAATTATTTTTTAGTGCAATGAAAGGTTTATTTTGACTGTTGTGAACCTAAAGGGCCACCGCAACACTCCAGACTTGGAAAACAGCCTTAGATCAATTCAAATTAAGAACACTAGAGACCTTTGTAACTATGAAAAGTTAAACGATAATTGATTTTACATTAGCCTCAGATAGTTTCCGACATGTTAGCCAAACTGAATCGAAAGTTGGAGGACGGTTTATAGTCCAAAATCTAATTGGTCACTACAATTAAAGGGATACGCATATTCTTTAATGTGCTAATCCAACAGTTTTTTTATAAATTGAAATTTTGAGACATTACATGACTAAAGAATTTTTGTCATCCACCAGCCTCAGATGAAGAAACTTAAACTTCTTGTAGCGAATTGTGCATTGGCACAAACACCCAGAATAAACAAATAATTAAAATTGTGGCGTGCAAATTCAATGATGGATGAAAACCATTTTTGAAAATTATGGAAGTTATGCAGATTACAACTGGTAATCAAGCAATTAATTTCGTACAGCAGCATGGTCAGGCAAGAGTTAAATTGGCCAACCTATGCAGCTCTACGAAATGAAAAAAAAGCCTAACTGCCCACAGAAATTCAAGATTGAAAGAAAACGATGCTTATAGAAAGGCAGAACAAGAATCAAAATTTTTTATTAATTAGAAACCACATTTTCAAACAATTAAGCTTACAATAAAAAAAACAACTTAAGATGACCGCCATTTACGCCATAACATTGTAATAACTTATCAAAAAAGGATATAGTAAATACTTGAAGGAATTTGTAACAAAGTCCATGAAGGCAGAGGTTGTAAGAAAATTGAGAGAAGAACCTCAGCTATTCTTAGAATGGAGAGTTTATGGCATAGGCATTACGATTATTGCCATAGCTACCCAAAAATAATTAGCATATTGCAGCACCTTCACTAAAAGAAAGGCAGTCATAGATCTTCTACGCTAAAATCATCCAAGGTCGTGTGCGGCCGAAGCGTTACAATGAGTTGAGCAGTTTCGGATTGATTTGATATTAATTGTAGAGTTTCGGCTATAAGCGATCTGCTTAGGATATAGAGTGTGTGATAATCTTAGGATATAGAGTCTTTGGCTTAATCAAGTAAAGTTATAGATTCTCTGACCTAACCTTAGCCACGTGAACATTTGGTCACTTGCGGCCGAGGATCTACAATTAACAAGTCAACCCAAATTTGTCAAATTAGTTAAGTCAGTATAGCGCCTTAGCCACAAGCGACTATGGCTGAATCAGCTGAAGTCATACATTCTGTACTCTAATATTATTCGAGGTCGCTTGCGAGCGAGGCTCTACAATTAATATCAAATCAACTAGTCAACACATTCCAGCGCCTCGCCCGCAAGCGACCTCGGCTTAATGTCATCGATTCTTGTTCTAAGTTTAGTCAAGATACTAATTTCACTTCTTTGAAAATAATCTAAATTATAAAATAAATGATTTGAACTCCAAACTTTAGACTTTAAACGTTTTTACTATCGTTAAAACAAAATCAACCACCATTCATTCTATTTTGGTATATCTGTAATTGTTTTAGTATCATTTTATAAAAATTGGCAACATTTACATGACACTTACAAATAAACTCTTATCATTTAATAGTATGTATATGTATAGAGCGGTTTTAAATAATCAGGTTTCTCTCCTTATAACGTGTATTAATAACAATAAAGTATGTGAAGTAATTAAAATATATTAAAAATGAGACTCAGGGAGAAAGTGGACTTTTTTTGTAACCACTCTATATTTTTATAATTAAATTATAAAAAAACTAATCCACACAAATATTCATTAATAATTTTTAATATTAATAAATTATTAATTTAGTAACAATATTAATATTTAAACGTTTAACATTTTAATTATGTGGATTAGTTAATAAGATTAAGTTAATTTTTGACGTTTACTTATTTATTTGTTCCTCATTGTCTGCAAAAAGAATTAAAAGAAAAATCTTTTAACCTTCATTAATCTGTATGTTAATGCGGAATCGAATGTAACATTCATGCAATGAAAATAAAATTAAATCAAAAAATATAAATTAAATAAAATTAAATTAAAAACATTTTTCATTTCGGTTTCTGTATCATTTTTTATATTACGTAAAATATATTTAAAGTGAAGTGCAACTTAATCTCAAATAAAAACGAAATAAACATGAAGCATAAAAGCGTCTTATGGTGATTAAAAAAAAAGGAAATTGGGTTTTAAAAACTTACCGTTGAGTTTTGAGTGGCTAATGTGTGTTTGCTCATGACGATTGTGGTCGTTTTTAACTCCGCGTTTTGCCCGCCAGGGCTTTTCGGCGGCACCAGCGCTTCCGGGCCATGAGCTAAGGTCTCTACCGCTCTCACCACATCCATTACTTTATCTGCGGGTGTTGACGGTTTCGCCTCAACTATTGATAAATCTTCTTCGGATTTTTCAGGTAGACGAAGCCGTTTTTCTGCATCTTCTCTTTCAAATTGCATCAATTCTGATTGCATTACTCTTTCCTAATAAATAATAATTATATATTTAATAAATAATATAAATATAATATAAGGTGCTCATTAAGTATGGATTAGGAAGATAATCTTGAATTCGATTTCTGTACTGTTTACTGGGAAATTAAAAAATTAATAATTTTAAAAAATGGTGCCAACAAAAGTTGTTCCTTATTTAATTCTTAACAAGTTTTATTTGAAAAATATTTTGATGCAAGCAATAATTAGGAAGATAATCTTCAATTACATTTCTGTACTGTTTACAAGAAAATTAAAAAATTGATCATTTTAAAAAATGGTGCCAACAAAAATTGTTCCTTGTTTAATTCTTAACAAGTTTTATTTGAAAAATATTTTGATGTAAGCAATAATTGGGAAGATAATCTTGAATTCAATTTCTGTACTGTTTACTGGGAAATTAAAAAATTAATAAATTTAAAAAATTGTGCCAACAAAAGTTGTTCCTTGTTTAATTCTTAACAAGTTTTATTTGAAAAATATTTTGATGCAAGCAATAATTAGGAAGATAATCTTCAACTACATTTCTGTACTGTTTACTAGGAAATTAAAAAATTGATAATCTTAAAAAATGGTGCAAACAAAAGTTGTTACTTGTTTAATTCTTAACAAGTGTCATTTGAAAAATATTTCGATGCAAGCAATAATTAGGAAAATAATCCTCAATTGCATTTCTGTACTGTTCACAGGGAAATTAAAAAATTGATAATTTCAAAAAATGGTGCAAGGAAAAGTTGTTCCTTGTTTAATTCTTAACAAGTTTTATTTGAAAAATATTTTGATGCAAGCAATAATTGGGAAGATAATCTTGAATTCAATTTCTGTACTGTTTACTGGGAAATTAAAAAAATAATAATTTTAAAAAATTGTGCCAACAAAAGTTGTTCCTTGTGTAATTCTTAACAAGTTTTATTTGAAAAATATTTTGATGCAAGCGATAATTAGGAAGATAATCTTCAATTATATTTCTGTACTGTTTACTAGGAAATTAAAAAATTGATAATCTTAAAAATGGTGCAAACAAAAGTTGTTCCTTGTTTAATTCTTAACAAGTTTTATTTGAAAAATATTTTGATGCAAACAATAATTAGGAAGATGATCTTGAATTCCATTTCTGTACTGTTTATTGGGAAATTAAAAAAATAATAATTTTAAAAAATGGTGCCAACAAAAGTAGTTACATATTTAATTCTTAACAAGTTTTGTTTGAAAAATATTTTGATACAAACAATAATTAGGAAGATCATCCTTGAATTCGATTTCTGTACTGTTTATTGGGAAATTAAAAAAAATAATAATTTTAAAAAATGGTGCCAACAAAAGTTGTTCCTTGTTTAATTCTTAACAAGTTTTATTGGAAAAATATTTTGATGCAATCAATAATTAGGAAGATAATCTTGAATTCGATTTCTGTACCTACTGTTATTACTATTACTGGGAAATTAAAAAATTAATAATTTTAAAAAATGGTGCCAACAAAAGTTGTTGCTTGTTTAATTCTTAACACGTTTTATTTGAAAAATATTTTGATGCAAGCAATAATTAGGAAGATAATCTTCAATTACATTTCTGTACTGTTTACTGGGAAATTAAAAAATTAATAATTTTAAAAAATGGTGCCAACAAAAGTTGTTACTTGTTTAATTCTTAACAGGTTTTATTTGAAAAATATTTTGATGCAAGCAATAATTAGGAACATAATCTTGAATTCAATTTCTGTACTGTTCACAGGGAAATTAAAAAAATGATAATTTCAAAAAATGGTGCAAGCAAAAGTTGTTCCTTGTTTAATTTTTAACAAGTTTTATTTGAAAAATATTTTGATGCAAACTATAATTGGGAAAATAACACATAATATAGAATTCCATTTCTATATTGTCCACAGGGAAATTAAAAAATTGATAATTGGACCGCGTTATATCATCACTTGACTAAGCGACATTTTATCGTTTTTAGAGATTTTCATGCTGTCTGGTAGGTAAAGGTGTAACTTATCTTAGAAAAAATTCAGAACACCGAAAGACTTAAAATACTATTTGTTTTCTAAAGCTAAGCGCCAATCACGTTATACGATTTCAAGTCCGATTTGCATCATACATCTAAGAACCGACTCAGATACGACACTTACAATTAGATACACCAAGAAATTCTACAATAGAAAAAATAGATGAACCTACAATTTCGGGAAAACGTCGTTTTCTAGATGTTAGTATAAAATTAAAAGTTTGTCTTTTATTTTAAATAGAATTTAAGTCTAAATAGTTTTGGCCCTTGGCCATCTTTAACGACTCTACAAATAGATTAACAACTCTCATCTTATCCATTTTAGAAACAACAGCGGTAGGTAGCGCTAGTTAGCATAAGATATCACTATGTTGCATATTTTTATTGCACTAAAACTAGAACTAACACTAGATCTAAAACTAGAAAGTTTCGGGAATATTTCTAGTTCTAGGTCTAGTGTTAGTTCTAGTTTTATGCTAGCACTATCACTAGAACTAACACAAGACCTAGAACTAGAATCATTCGGGTTTAGCCGTCTTGAGAGACGTGCGGCTAAATCCGAATGTTTCTAGTTCTCGGTCTAGTGTTAGTTCTAGTGGCAGTGGTAAGTAGCGCTAGTTGGCATTCGATATTACTATGTTGTATATTTTTATTGAACTAAAACTAGAACGAGAACTAGAAACATTCGGGTTTAGTCATGAAAAAGCTTTCAGTAATCTTCAGTCGTAATCTTCATAAAATAACCTTTAAAGCGAGTCCAAACTTGACGTGTTTATCTCAAAAAACCAAAAAGTTCGAACTTTCAGCTTTTAATTTTCACACATTTGTCATTTTCATTAAAAAACTTTTAAAATGAGTCCAAAGATGACGCACTTATCTCAAAAACCAAAAAAATTAGAATAAAAAACATTAAACCCTAAGTTAGCAACAATGAAGATAACAATTTAATTTTTAAATATTAATACCGACCTTAATTTTTTATTATTATATTTTTGTTTTTGTGACAGATATTAAGACATTTTATAAAAATTAAGAACATATCAAAATGACAATGACATTTCAAACCGCAAGTTGCTTATATCTCGAGTAATATTCGAATTAAACGTATCATGTTTGGTCTCATTTTAAAGGATTTTTCACGACGATTACAAATATGTCAAAATTGACGTTGACATTCTTAACCGGAAGTTTGATCATAACTTCATTAATATTAAAGACAAATATGTCGTGTTTGTACTCATTTTAAAGGATTTTTAATGAAGATTACAAATATGTCAAAATTGAGGNGCGACCTCGGCTTAATGCCATCGATTCTTGTTCTAAGTTTAGTCAAGATACTTATTTCACTTCTTTGAAAATAATCTAAATTATAAAATAAATGATTTGAACTCCAAACTTTAGACTTTAAACGTTTTTACTATCGTTAAAACAAAATCAACCACCATTCATTCTATTTTGGTATATCTGTAATTGTTTTAGTATCATTTTATAAAAATTGGCAACATTTACATGACACTTACAAATAAACTCTTATCATTTAATAGTATGTATAGGTATAGAGCGGTTTTAAATAATCAGGTTTCTCTCCTTATAACGTGTATTAATAACAATAAAGTATGTGAAGTAATTAAAATATATTAAAAATGAGACTCAGGGAGAAAGTGGACTTTTTTTGTAACCACTCTATATTTTTATAATTAAATTATAAAAAAAACTAATCCACACAAATATTCATTAATAATTTTTAATATTAATAAATTATTAATTTAGCAACAATATTAATATTTAAACGTTTAACATTTTAATTATGTGGATTAGTTAATAAGATTAAGTTAATTTTTGACGTTTACTTATTTATTTGTTCCTCATTGTCTGCAAAAAGAATTAAAAGAAAAATCTTTTAACCTTCATTAATCTGTATGTTAATGCGGAATCGAATGTAACATTCATGCAATGAAAATAAAATTAAATCAAAAAATATAAATTAAATAAAATTAAATTAAAAACATTTTTCATTTCGGTTTCTGTATCATTTTTTATATTACGTAAAATATATTTAAAGTGAAGTGCAACTTAATCTCAAATAAAAACGAAATAAACATGAAGCATAAAAGCGTCTTTATGGTGATTGAAAAAAAAAGGAAATTGGGTTTTAAAAACTTACCGTTGAGTTTTGAGTGGCTAATGTGTGTTTGCTCATGACGATTGTGGTCGTTTTTAACTCCGCGTTTTGCCCGCCAGGGCTTTTCGGCGGCACCAGCGCTTCCGGGCCATGAGCTAAGGTCTCTACCGCTCTCACCACATCCATTACTTTATCTGCGGGTGTTGACGGTTTCGCCTCAACTATTGATAAATCTTCTTCGGATTTTTCAGGTAGACGAAGCCGTTTTTCTGCATCTTCTCTTTCAAATTGCATCAATTCTGATTGCATTACTCTTTCCTAATAAATAATAATTATATATTTAATAATAATAATTTTAATCTAATATAAGGTGCTCATTAAGTATGGATTAGGAAGATAATCTTAAATTCCATTTCTATACTGTTCACAGGGAAATTAAAAAATTGATCATTTTAAAAAATGGTGCCAAGAAAAGTTGTTTCTTGTTTAATTCTTAACAAGTTCTATTTGAAAAATATTTTGATGTAAACAATAATTAGGAAGATGATCTTGAATTCCATTTCTGTACTGTTTATTGGAAAATTTTAAGAAATGGTGCCAACAAAAGTAGTTACATATTTAATTCTTAACAAGTTTTGTTTGAAAAATATTTTGATACAAACAATAATTAGGAAGATCATCCTTGAATTCGATTTCTGTACTGTTTATTGGGAAATTAAAAAAAATAATAATTTTAAAAAATGGTGCCAACAAAAGTTGTTCCTTGTTTAATTCTTAACAAGTTTTATTGGAAAAATATTTTGATGCAATCAATAATTAGGAAGATAATCTTGAATTCGATTTCTGTACATACTGTTTAAGTACTGGGAAATTAAAAAATTAATAATTCTAAAAAATGGTGCCAACAAAAGTTGTTACTTGTTTAATTCTTAACAAGTTTTATTTGAAAAATATTTTGATGCAAGCAATAATTAGGAAGATAATCTTCAATTACTTTCTGTACTGTTTACTGGGAAATTAAAAAATTAATAAGTTTAAAAAATGGTGCCAACAAAAGTAGTTACATGTTTAATTCTTAACAAGTTTTATTTGAAAAATATTTTGATGCAAGCAATAATTGGGAAGATAATCTTGAATTCAATTTCTGTACTGTTTACTGGGAAATTAAAGAATTGATAGTTTTAAAAAATAATGCCAAGTAAAGTTGTTTCTTGTTTAATTCTTAACAAGTTTTATTTGAAAAATATTTTGATGATAATA